GCGAGGGCAGTTAATCACTGGAATAGGCTGCCAAACGAGGTTGTCAACGGCATTTTAATGAGCTATTTTAGGAACCGCCTACAACCGGTCTGGTATAACATTCCCGGGGCAACCATATAACGCATACGGACCCAGAATTACTCCTCTTCTCTCTACCATCCAAATCCGATGAAACCGTCACCGCACGCTTTATGGAGAACGAACCTTTGCCGTGACCATTTTGGAGAAACTGAGAACATTGTCTTGACTACCTATTTGAAGAGGACTCGAACTTTCATCTGTCGCGGCACCCGGTTGCAAGAAACTGGATTGACCAGAATATCGCCCCCTGGAACTGAGCAAATGAACGAGAATACGCGAAGTTGAAGACCCATATCAATTTTGCCCACATGTTTTTGTGTTGTTGAAAGGGAGAGAATGTTTCAGATAATATACCTGATACTGCCGATCGATCTGTTCAAACTACCATCCCACACTCGGAAAATCACATCGCGGATGATTCGTTGGATTGAATTTTCAATAGACACAAACAAATGAGAAACTTGATTGAATGAACTTGGGATCGCGCCTAAAGATTTTAAGTTGGTACGAGATCCTAGGCCAAATTATTGTCAATTTATACAGCACTCAGGAGCTGGGATGCAACCAAATTGTCTTGAACATAAATCGTGCAACTTCGTGTTCTAATCAGAAAGACACTGATAGAAAGTTGGTTAGAAGTCTTCGAGAACTGCATTACGGCAAGAATCACGCAGAAGCTCAGAAACCTCGGGTAAGCAATGAAAAACTCCTTTGCATGCGTTGGTCTGAATAATTTTATTGGCATGGCGCGAATTCGATTGAAAATGTACTGTGTAATGAACATTATGGAAAAGCCATTTGCAAAGCTCATTGTAAAAGAACGAGCAAAGCACAGTAATAACAAAAGATCAGCTGGACTGAGATAGAACAGGTGGAATAGAAATGATTGTCATCAGGTGGGATGCCAAACTCAGTTGGCTGGTATCATGAAGTGGTAATCAGTCTATGGTGAATGAGACACGGAAAGGTTATGCGTGTGTGGCTGTGGTAATGCTAAGCGAGGTGTTGAGATCAGATCAGATAAAAATGGCGGGAGAATGGGTAGGCAAATACAGCAGATATCGGAGCGAATGTTGAACAGCGATGTACAAGAGCAGTGCAACCCACTGCTTGCAAGTACGTGCCAGTTGGAAGGCAGATGATTATTTACAAGTTGGTAAATTGTTTGAGGATAAACTGATAATGAAATGAAGTTTTTGGGAAAATCACAATATTAGTTCTTTTTTAGCAAAACGATATACCATATGAGTATAAAAAGATAAATATGCGATGCAAGTTTCGAATGAGCAGCAGCAACAACAAAGGTTCTGNGGGGGGGGGGGGACGGAAGACCAGACAGGCATATGTGGTTCAATTGACGTGAACAGAAATGGTGCGTTTCTTGATTGGACATGGGTTTGAGATTCATAAAATAACCGAAAATAGAACAGAAACAAAAAATGAACGAAGAAATTCAGTGGGCTTCGATGTGAAGGTGATCAAGTAAATGCAAATATGGTTATTCATATTGAATGCGGGCAAGTACCACAGGTTTGGGCAGTGATAATAGCAATAGTAATAAGACTAACTGTAGATAGAGAGGATTTATGAGTCGGAGGTTCTGAAAAAACGAGGCGGAATCGAAGTAGGTGGCCATCACGGGTGATGAATGATTATCGCAGCGGGAGGGGATTGGGTTATTATCGAGTGAATAGGCTATGGTTCACCGAGCCTGTGTTAATGTAAGGGTTCAGCTGATCACGATCAGTACATCCCAGCATCGCGTAAGAGGGAATATGCAACATCACCGCCCATCAAAGTACGAATAAATCCGGAACTGTTTGGTAGTGTGTCATTTGAAGTAGTCCGTACCGGGTCACAAATCTGGGTGCGCATTGTACTCCAGCGAGATGAAACTTCCCCCACGGCGTTCGTGTTAGAGAGGGTTGCTGAAGCTCGCGATGAGCTCCAAACATCGTTCGAGTTGTGAGGAGAGACGGTGTACCCAGGATGACTGGAAGCAGCTGAACCGCTTCCGAACTCATCTCGCTGAGAAGTGACAAGGGAAGCGGTGAGAGTGTTTATTAATTCGGTCTCGTCGTCCAGCTGTAACGGACCTTCGTCTCCGGAACATGGAGACTGTGCTGGAGGGATGGGCTCCAAGGTGAACATGATGGCTGAATCAGCAAACGGATCAGGGATCGGTTTGGGAATAACAGTTGCTGTCGATACAACAGCAGCGGCACTTGGAGGTACAACAGAATCTCCCGCTTGATTACCGTCACGAACAGAATTGACGATCACTGGAGGTTTCAGTTGATCGAACTCTTTGGAAATGAGGGATTTATTCTTGTCAGAGGACACGGTCCGGCGTTTTTTCAATCTCTTGCGCGTATTGCCCAAATGGGGATTAGAATCTCGCGCGGATGTACGGGATTTGGTGTGAAGAGGATCTACCCTGGGTAAGTCGAAAAGAAAACCGGCGTTAGTGCTGGCAAGTTCACTGGTTCGCGCTGGAAGAATCTTCAGTTGTTGCGCCAACTCCGCTGTGAGGCGCCGTCGTTCTGAGGGTTGGTTTGCAACNGGGCGTTTCTGTAAAGCAGACAAGTACAGAAAAACAAAAATCACTATATGCTTGCATCAGTTCATCGACAGTATTATAATTTGGTAGCTGAAATTTCATAAAACACAAAAGCAGACCGAAGGAGTGAGGACATTACTTGTGATGCCGTTTGCAAATTGAATAATCCACGATCAACGAACGAATAAAAATAACATTGGACGAACAAACGAATGAAACAGTTGTCACCTTTGAGCCACAGCTTTGCCTCGCAATCAGCAAAACAGAACCGATCACATTAGGTCATTTCGGTGTCTACGAGGCTAGGTTACACACCGTATAGCAGGACGGAAGCACTGCGAATGTCAAGCAAATCAGAGGATAACAGGAGGAAAACTGGACATGTTCTACGAAGGCGTGGATGCGTGTGAACTAGATCAAAGTCACGTAACAATCAATATCACAAGAAAGCTCGAAGAGCAAGCTTCGCGGACGACCCCACTTTCACCATTGTGATTTGCTTCCATCTGCAGCCATCCGTGGGAGAAAGTTGTCAGTTTGCAAACCAAAAGATTATTTGCCAAAAACAACACCGATGGTTTAGGCAAGTTTGGAATACTTTACTGACGGTATCTAACATAGACAAATGATTCCGTTTCTATCACATTGATAATTTCTTTGCGCTCTATGCACAATGTAAACATACTACAGAAACGGAAATATATTCGATCAAAGGCGGATAAGGAGACAGAGTAATCGGAATTTTAGAGATGAAAAAACGGTACTTCGGTGGTCAGTACGAGTTAATTACATCGTCAGTGATTCAAGGAGTGCAATATTTCCCAGCAAAGTCACAGATTCGACAAGGAAACGGAGTGAAACAAGGATTTACCGCTAGCCACATTGAAAGAGTATCATAGAAAAAATATATTCGGTTCGATTCGACTCCCTTTTGCGCATGCCTGCCTCTCGGAACCATTGTTGTTAGTGTTACACACAGAGACGTTCACGTTCAAAATGTCTGAAGGAAACCGGTGAGCATAACCTAACTTTGTTGACGAGCAGGCTCAACATGAAGCAAGTTCTCAAGCTCGAGGACCATACTATCTATGGTGTTTCAGTGAATAAAACCAAAAAATACTTACAGTCGAAAGCTATTCTAAGATAGTTTACGACAAATGCGGAATATCTCATCAGGAAGCACAATAAAATGAAATATTCAGCATCTAACTGAGGCGTCTGATACGCAACTATTATCACTGATTGTGAAGAATGTACCCTACAAATTAAATAAAAACACAACGGAAGTCAACTTTGGCGCGCCATTCCACACGTACTAATAGAATCGCTCGAACGTCGAGGCACCGACAAGACTGAGGTCAGGGTCACAGGGGTTTATGACGATGGGTAGAAGAGAAGAAATTATTGATTCATGAATAATAGATTGAACAAACTACCATGGGATGGAATATTCTCGTATACAGTGATAAACACGACTGTTTTATCCACGTCCGTAATCGCGAACAAAATTAGCATACAACAATAAATTCAATATCACTCTATGACACAGGGGTGCGAGATGAACTGAACTATCAGTACTACTCAGGAAAAAAGAGCAAAAAAGAAAAACTGATGAGAATAATGAAATTTTAACATTTTAAAAAAGGTTACCCGCGGTAAAATATATATATATAGAGAGAGAGTGCCTGGTGCCTCTGAACAATCGAATGGACTAATCCAAGCTTGATATCTAAATATATATCGTAGTTTTGAACTCCAACTCAACCGATCACTAGGTGCTACCGAAGGAGCACAAAACATTAGCATCACCCACCTAAACAGCACGTGAAAGTGAAAATGTGGTCACCCAATGCGTAAATGTCGGGCGTATTTTTAACCTCATTCTATAGGTTTTTGGCAAGCTCTCAAACCGCTGCAGAATTTACGAAAGTGAACAGTGATTCGAATTGCACCCAATTCCCAGAATGAAATATGCTCATTGCAATGCGATGTGGCTTCACTCTATGATAATCACAGATCTAGTATCTCCTAAAGGATCTGGTGAGAAACGATGTATTTTAGCCTTACGTGAAGAATAAGAAACTGTTCAGAGTTTCTATTAAAACCTTACTATCCACATAATGGACATTTTAACTACGTCGGAGCGAAAAACACCAAATGAGTAGTTCGTCGGTGCCACGCATTGAAAAACATATCCGTTAGGTGAGTGCTTTTTTGTTGTTGTTGTTGTTTGGGAATTCGGAATACCTGGAGAGCACAAACCAGGCCACAGATGTTGGCTTTGAAGAAATGCATGGGTCGCATAAACAGTCCTCATTACAAACGTATTTCGATAGGTTTGAATATGTAAAGCATACCAATTTACGATTGAGCGAAGAAAACGGAAACTAAAATGGTGTTGAATTTTCGAACAGATTAAGGTTTAAGTGATGGATTTTCATACGTAAAAAATTGTAACACGAATTTAGTAGTAAACAGAGGGTGGCTGTTGGCATAAGCCAGGAAGGTAAAATGAAGCAAATTTTGATATTCAACGGCTAAGTGGATACCCATTGCACCTATGAGAAATCGAACTGTATAAATTTTGGCAATCAGGTTTGTCAAACCACCCCTGCCCCGTCCCCCAAAAGGAGACACTTCAGCAACAGAAAACGTCAGGTACTGAGCACGGCGACAGTATAACCGGGCACTATCAATGCGTGCATTATGCCGGATAGGTATGAGTTATTGAGAACCTGCCTGTTGAAATCCCGTGTCCCTTAAAAACGCAAAAAATATAAAAATATGTACGGCGAAACAATATTTGCTATTCCAGTTATTTACTAATTTCCATTTAGCTGTATTACCTTCTTTTCACTCTGTTTTGTATCCCTTTCCACCCATCCCCTATTATTGTTGCTTGTCAGCAAACCGGTGATATATATATGTCATCATCTAGGTGACGATGAATTCAATCGAGAAAGGAACTCAGCACAAACCGGCAGGTGGATCTTTTTGAATGGTTCAGCAACGATTCGAGTTGGCCGTACGGTATTGAAAGGCCAAGACTGAGTGCGTAGAAAGGAACCGGATAATTGCGAACGGAAAGAATGCATTTCCACTGACAACCTTTTTACAAGAAAGAGAGAAGTTCTTATCTTTTGTACTCAAGTCCACAGCAACTCATGATTGGACAGGCACCATACGGCAGCAGCATTTGAAGAATGTAACAGCAAACCGAACGTAACTCGCCACTATTGTTCAAACAGTTCCCTGAGTTTGTCACTCAGTCATACCACGCTAAAAACATGCGCTACACCAGATAACCTTGAAGAACCTGCGCAACTGTGCTAATCTTGCAGGAAAGTACGAATATTACGAAAAGCCTTCTTCCAACAGAGTGACACATAAAATGATGGATGGTAACGCCCCAAAACACAAATTTTTAAATGTCTTTTTACTTCCTTTTTTATTTGAAGAACATGGGAATGCACAGTCAACTTCCAGGAAAGGAACCGCGACCATACCAAGGCTGCCTTAGAAATAGAGAAATAAGGAAGACAGGCGGCGGTGAAGCGACTCAAACCCGGGACTCCCGGATCGCAATTTGGTGACCTTAACTACTTGGTCACAGCCGCAACACTGCACTATTGTTGCGATATTCATAATGCCTATGAAGTGTAGTTTGTAATCCATACCCTCATACTATGCAATTTAACATACTTGAAAAGGCTACTGAAAAACGAAGAACAGCTGCAGACTGCATGAGTGAAAAACAACTCACTCATGTGGGCGATGCGGACAGATATTTCAGATATCCTCGGAGGACTGTCACATGAGAGGTGGAACTACATCACATATCGGGCGACTCCTCTCGAACCGATATGTCCGCTCACGTTGTTACGTGAAATTTCCGAGTTAGGATAATTAATCGGATGATGAGGAAACAAATTGTTATTTAAGGCTACTTTTCTATGGTTTTCGGGATGAATATTACAGGTCAACCTAGGAAAACGCTGATTTTCCAACATGATATAGACAGCTCGTCGGCTCTGCTAACTGACAGTTGATGCATGCACACTTTCGGCACGGACTTGATAATTGTCCTTGCATGTCATTCTGCTCACAGGAGCGTACCCGCCCGCATACAGCCTGGTGTGCTATTGTGTTACTCGAAAGGTTCATTTAGAATTGTTTAGTTGTGATCATGCAAAAAAGTAGTCGGTGGTTGTTCGGCTAGCTAGATCGATAGCCGAGTCAGTTAGTTTATGCATATCCTGGTTGGGAAATCTGTAGACTAGAAAGAAAAAAGCGATTAGCACAACGTGCCGTGTGTGCGGGAGAAAATCTGAACTGAGTGGGGTATGGATCGAGTGTGTAAACCAGGGATAAAATCACAAAACGGATGGATCGATGGGTCTGTTTGAACTAGCAAACATTAGGAACAGGTAGCAAGAGTGGCATCGTGAACGCATCAAGATCACCATGTGTATAGGGATGAAGATGTAATAGTGAGACCCTGACATAAAGAAACAGAGCTGGGGGTATTGAACTATATTTGGACTTCACGGCTTGTAGCTAAACTCTGTTGGGAATCCTACAGTTCCCTGGTGTCCGGTAAGCCATAAATGGTAGTCAGAATATCTAGATCCAACGATAAACCTTAGTAGAGGTGGTAATTGTGGATACCACGGAGAGGGCGGTGGTGACCTGGTGGTAACGTCACCAAATTATCACCCCCGGAGGACGTGTACTCGAATTCTATCACCACCGCCTGACTTTCTCCTTTGTGTGTGTTGAATGGCAACTTTTTGCTTAGTCGCTTCCCCCTTCCTGAAAATTGTATCATTATGTATTGAAGAAAAATAAATGAAAAAGACCGACAAACTGAATGTGACTAACTACGGTGTAAGAGCTACAGCCAGTCAATCATTCAGATAATATGAAAATTTTACCTATAGCATAACATAAACATACTGCATCTACGAATCTGTATGAAACTCTGGCTCAGCGCATCGGTTACATAATCAGAGCCGCTTCTGTCAGAAAAAGAAACTACGAAAGGCGACAACTTAAAATTAACGGTTAAGGGTAGTTGTGTACAACAGGGACTAACCGTGGTTATTGACACAAATACTGAAACCTATCAGGGCTCATTCAAGGAGGTTGCGGAAACAAAGCCCTTAGGTGCCATTTTCGAAAGGCATTCGACCAATAAGGGCGAGAGTTAGATGGCAACTATTTTTTCTCAAATCTTCCCTAATTTCTCACCAGAATGGTTTTGGTCCATTATTAACATCAGTTAAAAAAAGAAAAAAAGTCGTGCAACTAGATGAAGTAGAACGAGAGAAAACAGTCATGGAGGTGCATTGTTAACACACCGGCTTAGGAAGTCATTTTACTGATTAGCTAGATCAGAGTAACGTGGAAACTCACAAGCGAATCTTTGTTAACCAGAGTTGGGGGGTGGATCACCTCCCTAATCGAGACAAACTATGATCTGGAATGGAGCTTGGTTATCGGCATCTTGCCCAACGCACTGCAACAGGCAGTGCGTTCGGTTAAGTGATTGACTCATTGACCAGTGTGTTTGTTATGGGGTCCGAATTGATATAGTCCGGTTTAGTTCGACTTTTTTATTTTCTGGTTTGATCACAGATCAAAAGAATACTTTAGGGAAGGAAATAAAAGTCACTTGTATTCTTTCTCTCTGGATCGCAAATGAGACAAACAATAATCCTCGAGCCGATGTCCACCAAGTGCAACGGGTGCACGAGCAGGAAGGCAGATGATAGAGTTCCACAAGTCCATAGAACAAGACGGCTATGCATGGATTCAGAAAAGCAAAGAAACACTACTCATAACGAGATTCGGTAACAGTACTTATGTGGAACACTACTTTTA